TTCTCAAAATATATGGTGTTTCATTTTCGAGCTTAAACCCGATAAACTCGACATGGAGCTAGGTTTGTAGAGGGTAATTAAGATGTACCTAGTCTTTCTTTTATCTCAATGGTTAAAAATGTTGTTTTCATAGCCTTAGGGGCTCAGACTTATAATGTCCATTTTCAAAGTTATTATGCTAAAATAAATTAAAAATAAGACGTCTTTCTAAAATAAGATATCATCATTACCACAAACTTGTCCTAACAAGTCTAAAGAGAGAAATTATCGAACCCCATAGCCTTAATAGACTAAAATACGTGCGTATTATTTCAAGAAAAAAACACCCAATTCTAGAAAGTCATATAAGTGGTGTAAACGTTTTTTTTAATGGATGAAGGACGTAAAGGAAAAAGTATTTCAAAAATTAGATGTGGTTTCAGTCATACGTGGATTTTACTTTTCCAAAAAATATATTGCAGTGATTAATGAGTGTACTAAATTATATGTTCTTGTTAACTGTGGGTATCCGAACTAACTTGTACGAATATCGACTAATCTCAAGGGTCCTGGAGAACAGGTAGGAAATCTTCAGTGGCCTTGTAGAACTTGAATTGATAACCTCCGAAGAAAATCCTCAAAAACCCAACCCTTATTAAAAATCAATTAAAATGCAACTTGATAGAGTCGTTGACAATTGACGGTATCTAAAGGGATCCGAAATGGATTATTTCAATGAATAAAGGAGTCGTATGCCGTAAAAACCGACAATACTTTGGATTTTACATTATTTTTGTCAAGCGAGTGTCACTTTTAAGGTGGAATGTAAATCATTTGTCCACAAAGTCGTCCAATTGCTTTTAGTCGATTTCCAACATTTTGACAAAAAAAATGTCTTTTTATTGATTTGAAGGGACTTTTTCCGGGCTTTTTGGTTGATTTCGAGAAACTTTTTTCCGTTTTTTCGTTGATTTTGAGCGACTTTTTTTATAATGTTATTTGTTGACGTTTCTTCTTCTTTTTTTAATATCCTGAAGCACTTTCAAAGTTTATCGAAGCATCTTTCATGTCTCAAAAATATTTTACTTGTAAAAATCAGTTTAGCGGGTGCACGAAACCCGCTCAAGCCTTCATAGTCATAGGCCCATGTTGCTTTAAAAGGTGACGTGTACTTATTATATATGGATAACTGCTAAATAACAAGTTTAAAACCTATAACATTAAAAACATCATCATCTAAATGTTGTTGTATTTAAATGCCATCAAGTTAAATATTTAACGACAATTATTTGTCTAGAATAGGCGATAGCTCTGTCTAGGAACAACAAATTTCGGACTAAAGTTAAAAGAGGAAAAGAACTATAAAGAGAAGGGAAAAAAGGTTTACGTTACGTCAAATTTAAATTACAAAAACAGTAAGCTCGAATCTCTGACATCAAAAGTAACGAACTAACTCCTGGTTTGTGTATGCTAATTCTGGAAGCAAATTGGGATGATTAACCAGTTATTTTATAGTTACAACATATACGATATTGTCTTTCTTTTAGAAATGTATTATTGGCAGTTGGGGCATCATAACATCACTTGATTTCTACAAAATGCAACCTCTTCACCACATGTTCATCGACGTCGTGTTGCAGAAGTACCAATTCAACCTCTAGAATTCTTGGTTTCTTCTTTCGTTCCAAATTCAATCCATGCTCTGAGTTTTGTACGTTACGGCTTTTGAACTATATATTTATTTTTTTGATTATGATCATATATTTATTTTTGGTTTTATTAAAGAGGATCGTACTCAATAAAATTCATGATGTTGTCCTCTCAATATAATTCCTGACACTGTCCTGCTCGATAGATATGGTTAAAATGGATTGTAGGTTAAATGGGATGGTCCAGTATTTGGTCCAAATTACGTACGTTTTTTATTTTGTTTTTTTCTATTGTACCACTTGATTTTCGATTAAAAAAAATACATATATAATATAAAACAAATAAATCATATTTTATAAATATATTAAATAAATGATAAAGTTATTTGGATAATAGAATTTAAAATATATAGAATCATACAGAAAATATATTAAAAAAGCTTCCTTTATATAATTATTTGGTCGTGATACGATATCTTTTTTTAAAGTTTAAAAGCGTAGCTTTACAAGAATAAAATTACAAAAGAAAAGGTTCAACTTTATACATGATTTCTAGCCTTTTTTTTTTAAAGATTTTCAATTGATTTTTTTATAATTTTTTTAAAATATAAAATTAAAATGTTTAAAGAAAATATGCTTAATCCTAATATATTCTTTATTTTACAGATTTTAACATTACAAAGTAGCGTACTTTAATTTGATTTTTATTTAAGTAATATACTTTTAAAACCTTCATTTTTAGTATTTAAGATGTAAAATTTCAAATTTTTAATAACAAATAATCTCAAAAAAAATTAATTAAATATTTGTAAACTCAAAAATCTCTACACCGGACAAAATCCTTCTCCGGCGCCATCCTCCGTCTCCGTCCCTACACTGCACAACCTCCTTCCCTCTCCCTTTCCCATATAATACCATTTTCTGCAGAACCCATAAGATAACAAAGAACGCAAAAGCTATGAACTCAAGCTCAAAGCCTTGTTATGGGATGATAACATAGGGGCCGTTTACCAAACGCTTACTTGGGTAAGTGAACATCAAGTCATTTTAGCTTACCAGATGAATATGGTAAGGATCAAACAGTGGCGGATCTAGAAACTATTATGGTTGGGGGAACACTTAGGAGGGTCGAAAAAATTTCGAAACCGAACAATTCGTCCGAACCAAAAAAGGTTTCGGGTTTTTATTTTCAGGTTTGAACTGTTCGGTTAACCGAATAAAGATAACTGATGCGGTTGAAATAAACTAGGCATTGACCCTACAATTTATATTTGTTGAGTGAATATGACTTGTATATTTACCTTTTCATATGTGGTACTGAATATCCTGCTTACTGAAATGCAATGATGTGGTGGAGAGTGACTTCTAAGGCTTATGTTTTAATCTTTTAGTACTCTTCTTAAGATGAGCACCCAAGGAGACCTACCAACTAGGAATTATTCATTCTGCTTGATCATATAATTCACAAATAACACTTGGATCTTTAATTGTCTTGCATACTGTTTTTCAACACAAAATTGCAAAATTAACCTAACATTTTCATATGTCTAACATTTCCATTTTCCTATAAAATTGCAAAATTAACCTAACATAAAGCATTTACCAAAATACCAAATCATCAATTGTGAAGCAAACAACAAAATTAAAGTCATTCAAAATTAAATATTGGAATTTAGAAATCAAAAATTTTACCCAAATCAAATTAGAGACTGGAGACTTGAGTAGGTAAGCACACTGCGTGAACTGTGAAGGTGAAGGCGTGAATTGTTACCGTGTGAACTGTGAAGGAGAAGGACTAAGGAGGGGGCCTTCATAATTTTATTGTTGGGGGCCCAACCAAATTAAATTAAAAACTACAAATAAAAAATAAAAAATTGGGCTTTATAAACATTTTTTTGTTGGGGTCCCAGGACCCCAATGGTCTCCATGTGCATCCGTCCATGGGATCAAAAATCTTACCCGGTAAGAGCGAGACAATGACCAAAAGTCTTACCCGATAAGTGAGAACGATAACTCTTACCACTAGCGCTTACTGGGTAAATTGTTGCCTACGATACCGTTTTTGTGGACTAAAATCTTATTCGGAGAGTAAATTATAGTGTTAAATTTACCGGTAAACGCTTACCGGGTAAGTGTTTGATAAACGACCCCTTAGATTCATGATGGTTCATTAAATTCATGATGATTATTTCAGGTGGTTGGCTACTCCCATAAATGTTTCTTATGAGATGATGAACAAATCTGCAGGGACGTAAAAGGTTTGTTATGGGTTAAAGGTTATGTAGATCATGATGTTTCAGATATCTATCAGGTCTCGTTTGGTTTGTAGGAGCAAAAAGTATTTGGATGATTTGAAACAGATTTCGTGTTTGGTTTACAGGATTGCTCGGATTTGAAATCCCTCAAACATAGGATTTTGAAATCCCATGGGATTGGTTGAGATTTCGAAATATTTGTATATAATAATGTTTTGAAATATGTTAAAAATATTTGTTTCCCAATAATCATTTAATAAAAAAGTAATTTAATTATTTTTATAATTATTTGTAATTTGTTTTTACAAATTATTTGTAAAGAATTCCAAATCCTAAAAATCAAACATTTCACATTCAAATTCCTCCAATTCCTAATCCTTTTACGAAATCCAAATCCCTCCAAACTATTTCATCAAACCAAATGTTATTCACATATAAATTAATTAATGGGTCCACTCATGAAATAAAATGATTAGAAAAATAATTCAATTTTAGAAGTGAAAATTAAAAGCATTTTTTCTAATAGATTTTTAAAGGTAAAATTGTACGAAAATACAACATACTAAGTTTGATTCAAATTTTAGATATCGTACTTTTAAAGTCTTTGTTTTGTTACCTAAGATGTAAAATATCAAATTTTCTAAAGTATCTGAATTACCTATATATTAAATAACACGTCAACTATAAAATGACATGGAATATATTATGGAAAATAAAATATTTAGTTTTAAAAACTTTTCATTCTAAAAAAACCCAAGAAACCCCATAAGTTCATATATGAAATAAGTTAATTAGTTTATATGTAAATTAGTTAATTAGTTTATTTGTGAATCATAATATGTGAATCACATAGGTTCATATATGAATCCGTTTACCGCCTATTTGTAAAAATTAAGAATCTTACTCTGAGCCCAATTCTTGACCCAACACCAATCTCAACTGAAAACATACATTCCATAACCTTTGGAAGACCTCACTTTCATACTGCAAGTGGCAACTTCTATACCCATTTCATAAAAGCCACACCAATTTCTCAAAACCCATCTTCTATATCAACACAACCATTCATTCAGAAACTGAAGCAGAAATCAAGAAAGAATAATGCAAGACCAGAAATAAGATACAAGCCATATCAGATGTATTATAGCTTCCAGTGAATCCAAACCAGAATTGCTGCACAGGGAGCCAGCAAGAACTACAAACACTAAAAAGAATCATGTCCAAAAGAACTTGCCAGCCACAACCACATAGAACTCTCCTAAAAGAAAAAGAATCAACACTGATTTACTCTCTCTCTATCTGAATTGTAACATGGCTGATGTTATACTCCCTCTTAATGTAATCCACCACCTTATCCAGCACCATATCAGCATCAGCTTCGCGTCTGATTCTCACATGGCAAGCTAACAGTACTTTCCCAACGGTAATAGCCCATATATGCAACTCATGAATGGCAACCACCTCATCTATCTCACAAAGACCCCTTTCTAGACTCGTTGCATCTATCTCTCTTGGTGTGCTTTCCATCAGAACCTCCAATATGTCACGCAGCATGTTGATGGTTGTATACAACACTATAATGGAGAAGAGCAATGTGCATATGGGATCGATGATTTTCAATTTAGGGTTGTACCAAATGACTGCCGCCCCGATCATTACCCCGATACTCTGAATTGAATCCCCCAAAACATGAAGATAAGCACCTTGAACGTTTATATTCCTCTTCTTCTCTTTGGCTTCACCTGCTGCAGAGTATGTCTTTAATAGCGGCTGCTGATKTTGTTGTTGTTCTTCATGACCATGATGGTGATCATCGCTATGACCATGACCATGATCATGATGGTGGTGTTGGTGTGTTGTGACACTAACTCCATGGATATGCACATCTTCAACATCCTCTTGGCTATCACCATGATCATGCTCTTGATGTCCATGATCATGACTGTGACTATGTTTATGGTCATGACTGTGGCCATGACCATGACCATGACCATGACCATGACCATGGCCATGGCCATGGCCATGGTCATGACCTAGTATGAATATCATGAGTATGTTAACAACTAAGCCAAAAGCAGAAATTCCAAACATAAGACTGCCTTCAACTTCAACTGTACCATGGAGGAGCCTTTCTATTGCTTCATATACAAGAATACCAGTAAGTAGCCATATGATCTGAATGGATACCAGTGTTCCAAGTATCTCAATCCTGAAAAACCCGTAAGACTGGCGAGGTGTAGCTTCCCATCCTGAAGCCCATACTGAAAACAATGAAATAGCAAAAGCAGCAACATCTGATAACAAATGAGCTGCATCCGTCAATATTGCAAGACTGTTCGCTTTAATTCCACCCACTACTTCTACACCCATAAAAATGAAGCACAGTATAACCCCACCCCAGAGCTTCCACATGGAAGCTGATCGCTCTCTTGCCTCCCGAGAACTAGTTTTGGCATCTGAGAACCCACATGGCGCTCCCCCACAAACTTTATTTCCGGCATGCCTGTTCTCTTCAGATGACACATCCGCAGATATGTCAACAGCGTGTCCATGGCCAGGGTTCTGAGCATCCATCTACAATTAGGTAACATCAAATCATCAATAACTAAAATGGTTTCAGTTTTTGATGATACAATGAACACCATAAACAACGTGTGTGCTTCAGTTTCAACTGGATTATATGCCATTCATGAATCATGATGAAAGGTTTCTTGGGGTAATCTTTCTCACACTCCACCCTCAAAGATGTAAACAATGCATAGGAAAAGGGCTGTCGGGGCTGATTAAATCAGCCATTACCAATTTCTTTAACAGCAATAGAATCTAAATCAATATAAAGCCAAATCTGTCTAGATACTTGTTTATCTCCCTTACAACTCACACAACAAGAAAACAAGTGAACACACTAAACAAGATTGTAATAAAATAACATCTCATACAGGACAAAACATTAAAGCATACTAATTTATCAACAATTTATATATAATATTTCAAAACAATGACAGATGTAGGTCAGATTCACCATAGCACAAATCATTAGGAAATCTTTTTATTTGATGAACGCTGGAAATGAAAGTTTACAGCAACATATCCCCAGGATTCATATTCCTAATAACAAGAACCTGCAAATTTCCTTAGGATTTGAAAATGAAACATAAGGAACTCCATTAAATGAGAACTTCTGGTGGGTGGTTTTGTGATTAAATTAAAATACTAAAGATATGTAGAAAATCAGTCCTTGAAACAAGCAGGTAAATCCATCTTAACAAAACCCTAGTGAAAATAAATCAGAAAGGGCGGCTATGAAGAAGGATTACCAGAAATATGGTAAGATATAACGGAAAAAATCACAAGAAAGGTGAACGTAATCAAGTCGGCAATGATTCTAGACGAGAATGAATCTTAAAAACGCCCATATACAGTAACAAGAATAACAATTAGGGATAAAAATGGTCCTAAAAGTCAGGGGAAAAGATTCCGAAAAAGTTGTGGCTCCCAAGAATATCATTCGGAACAAATATAGAACAGAATACTGGTATTCGAAAAACAGAGTGATACAAAGAATCAAACATCGTTAGAAAAAGTGACTGAAGAACAAATCTTGCATTTTGGAACTACTGAAGAAAAAGATCGAATCGGAGGGTTTACCTGAGATCAAGCGATTGAACTCGGAAGTGGTGATCTTGAATGGCGGGTGATCTTGAGTGGCGATTTGATGATCACAGGAAGGAGGAGAGGGTGTGTACGCGTACTGTGGAGGAGGGTTTATCCATGGATTTATATAGAGGGAAGAATGGCGTCTGTAAATATATTGGGGTTTCCGGTGAGTTGGTTAAGATACCAAAGCCATCTGAATTCGGGTAATATGTTGGCTTTGTTACATATTTTATTCATTATATTTGATGATTCCCCAAAATGGTACTTAGATGCAAAAATTGGATATTTTGGATTGAATCCCAAAAAGCATCAAATATATTTAATGGTCCCTGATTTTTATTCTTTAATAATTTTACAAACTTAAAAAGTGTCCGTTAAGTAGAGGCATGTGTCACTTACACCAAGACAATTTATTTGGGGCGTTTGAGATGAAAAGGCAACGAAGAGAGATGTTTCCAGCCAAATCGAAGGTCATCTGCTAACCTAAATCGCTTGAACAAAGATGTTGCATACGTTAGTATGGCGACGATGAAGGGAGTGGGAGAAGTGGTCGTCGTTGGGTGATGATGACGATATACAATAAATATGTAGGTCGGTGAAATGGATTTGGTTGTTGGTTTGGATGAACTAGTTGCCATTTTTGAGTGGATGGCTCATCATTGTTAACCGATTTGGAGACGTCGGATTTTACTGTGTGAGAGGAGAGGGGGAGGCGGTAAAAGAACCAAAAAATATTTCATTCCCCCATATCAAATAGAATTAATGATTATCATTCTCATTGGCTAATCCCTACCTCCTAATACCCCCTCAACCCATACTCGTTTTACCTTCTTGTTTAGATCAGTGTTCAAAAAGACGCGTCATGACATACGTCATGGCACATTATGGCATAAGATGCATCTCCTTCGTTACGTTAATGCCCGTAGCATTTGTGTAAGGTAGGCATGGCAACAGGACGGGAATGGAGTAAGTTCTCTAATCCCCGACCCCAACCCTGGTTTCTATGAATGGCCCCCGTCCCTGGCGGGTACGGGGATTGATATCCCGGTTCCGGTTTATTTTTTGGTCAAACCCTGATCCTCGTCTTCGGTCAAGACCTAATTTTAGAAAATAAATAACATATATATACACACACATATTATATAAAATATATTAATAAAATTATATATCGGATACAGGACAGGGCGGGCGGGGGATACGTTGTTCGGGCCCGGGCCCAACCCCGGTTTGAGTCTACTAGGGATTCCCGGTCCCGGAACCCGTTTTAGCCAGGAATCCTCATCCCTGTTCAGGTCGGGTGAGCCGGGTTCCCCACCGGATCAGGGAAAATCCTAGTGTAAGGTGTGGCTCACGCCATGGTTCCTTGAGGCGTGCGATTTTCTACAAGGCGTGATTTTTTTTTATATGTTTTTACACTTTTAGCTTTATATTTTAGATTTTTACAGATTAGCTAATCATATCACTAGTTGTTTTTTTGATTCATACATATCATAGACTCACGATTAAAACAATATTTTTATATAATACTAGTTTATATATATATATATAGAGAGAGAGAGAGAGAGAGAGGCGGGTTACATTACAAACTGCCCAATTCATAAAAACTATGCAAACCACTTCGACCAATAGGAAAAAAATTTCTTTAATTTTAATAAGTAATGGTATAATGATCATTTGATTGTATACTGGTTAATATTGGAAGGTAATAATTACTCTTAATTATGGAAACATAATAATAGAAACATTTAATATAGAAGGTGGTAAATCAATTTTTCTTAATATAAATTTTTTACAATCAATAGTTTTTATTCTTTTATTAAATTATACTTATTAAAATATGAATTGTAGAAGCACTACAATATGAAATCTGATTTCGTTTCATTGAAAAAATATATGTAGTTTGAGTAATAAAACAAATGTCATGTTCAATAGTGACCATGAACACAATTTCACTGATAAATTTAATTTATTAATATTTCGGAACGTTTTATGCATGAAAAACTTTATTAAATAAGAAAATATTTAGTTTTAAAAAATGTTTCATTCAATTTTAAAAAATGTTTCATTCTTTATATATTTCATCGTTTATTCTGATATCACTTGTTTTAAAATTTATTTTGATTAGAAATTATTAAGAGTTCAATACTACTTCAATAACCGTTAATGAAATAGTTTGCAATTATCGTTCACTACTACAAGACAAATGGTTCATCTTTCATTATAGGTGACAAGGAGTCACGTGAGTTCATTCAATAAACAGTGAAACAGTTTCATTAATTCATTTAATTATACAAATATTTGTTTTAGTATTCAAAAGTTTTCTGTATTTTTGTTGATTAAAGTATGTTTTATGTTTCATAATTTATTAAGATATACCTCGTTTCAATGCTCCTTACTTGGATCTATTTTTAAGGTGAATATTATTTTGTTTATAATATTTAGACATAAAATGAAGATAATTTTTATCAAACATATAATTTTTCAGATTATTCTAACATTTTTTGTTAGAATCTTTTTAATGATAAAATGATATATAGAGATTTTAAAACAATGATTTTGTTTCATTAATGTTAGGATATCCACGATCTTGTTACCTTGTTTACAAAACCATCGGGGATTTGACAATTTTGCCCTTTTTTTAATTAAAAATTAAACTTTTATTTTATTTTTTTATTTCCTAATATAAACACATTTAATCTTGACCATTGATCAAAAAAATGGAGTGGATGAAATTGGTTTGTAAGGTTTTCACAAATGAGAGTGGTTTGCAATTGATCGCTCATATCTCTCTCTCTCTCTCTCTATATATATATATATATATATACTATATTATAAAGCATTCGACAAAAACTCTGAAAAATAATTTTTTATGCATAAAGTACTATTTGTTTATTCATATTACTTAAAATTTAATATTACAAGTTGATTATGCGTAGGTACAACTTATTAAAGCTTCATATTCGAATTTGTATAACTAGTTCCGGATAAACATAGTCAAATACATGATAAACATCATTTTAAACATAAAAAATCTAAAATATAATTAAGTTCTAACAGAATACTTAATTATTATCTTAAAGAAATTATTTTATTAAACCAAAAATAAATTAGTTTGTTTTTAAAATTCAATTAAATTATAATAAAATTTTGAATTAAAGAAATTACACAAAAAAAAAGAACTTTTAACTAGTTAATTTGATGATAATATCGCTTATTTTATCAAAATTTTATAATATCTTCAAATCTTTATTTCATTTAAAAATAAAAACATTTTATTTTTCTTAAAACCACATAAGTCGTATTATAACATTGATAGACCCATAATATAAAGCGAAACATTAAAATTAAGATGTATATCGTTGCATTGCGCGAGTACCTTCTAGTATAAATATATGATTTTTCTTCTTCTAATATGAATAAAAAAATTAGTATCATTGTATTATTGAATAATAAATGGAAAACATATATATATATATATACACACACACACGTACATATATGACATACGAATTTGTTGTCTTATGACACGCCTTAAAAACATCACTTCCTCGTGATGGCGTGTAAGACTGGCTTGAGTTCGTCGCCACGTTATCCTCACGTCATTTTGAACCTTGATTTAGATCCATAGTTGTAGTCTCGGATTCAAGCTCTAGTATTGGTCATGTTGTAATTCACCATATGCAATTCGAATTCGAAAATATCACCATTCTTTCTCATTGCTTCTTGTGAAAACTCAACACAAAAAACCCGAGTTCAGATAGAAAAACCGAAACCTGCAAAATTAAAATCTAGAAAAATCAAGCCTCCATCATACCGGTTCCGGTTATAATCGTATAAAGTTGTTTAACAAATATTGAGTGGCTTATACAAAAACTTACGATGAACGTCCCTATCATATCCATCACAATCTCTGATTCACTAACAATCAAAATTAGTACGATAGCTTTTTTAATCAACCTTTTATTTGATAACATGATTTTAAATAATTGGAGCCCGATTCTCTTAAAAGAATCTATTAAGCTCGATGTATGTCTGAACTCTGAAGGACCATTACGATGATAGTTCACGAACAAATCCAACACGAATAACGGTTGGGAAATGGACTAGTTTAACTAAAGATTGTATATCTGAAGAATAACTGAGAAAATTCACAACTTCAAACACCACACCAATGAGAAATTACCAAATATTCATAAAGATGGCGAAAGAGAACGATTAAAGAAACCATGAATTTCAAAAACTACGATCGAAGATTTAAATGTTTGAAAACCGAAGAATCGACAATTTGAAGATTTGAAAAAACGTAAGTTGAAGATCGAAGATATTAACGATTTTAATTTTTTTTTCGAACGATTTTTGAATTTTTCTTATTTAAAGTCATAAAAGCATCTACAATGGTTTTCTCTTCTTTTTGGGTTTTAACTTCGTTAGTTTTGTCTTTTTTTTTTTTTTGCACCTCGCATATCTGTTGTAAACTTTGTTTTTCATTTTATATATTTTTTTTAATTTAAAAAAAAAACTCTTATCGTCATTATTTATATTTACTGTTGTGCTTTGATCAACTGATATATTTTAATAGAATCTAAATGTGTTAAAAATGGATGAAAATTATTTTGGTTACAATAAATTGCTATGTAATTTCCCATAAATTATAAGTTTAAAATAATATTTTTTTAATGATATGATTTATTAAAAATAATGTTTATATTTTAATAATTTGGATTAATCAATCAAAATGTGATAAAATTTGAAATGAAATTGTGATGAAAAGGACAAAAATTGCAAAAAAGATTCTTCCAACCTTTCAATCAAAAAAAAACTTTTGATAAAGTGTGTAAAAATCATGAAACAAATTGCATAAAAAATAATAAAAGATAATGTATTTTAATTTGGTTTTTATTTTAGATAATATATTTTTAAAATTTTTATTTTGGTATTAAATATTTAAGTATCCAAATAACCAGTTGAAGTATTAAACAGTATCCACCTCGGTATTATTTGTTGAAGCATTAATCAGATACCACATGACTCGTCACATTAGCATGGTAAACCGATTAATGCTTCAACCGGTTACTCAAATACTCAAATGTTTAAAATTTTATATCTTAGATACCAAAATAGAAATTTTAAAAATGCATTATTCAAAATATGAATCTAAGTTTACTAAAAAAACAATGTTATGATTTTTAGTTTAGATATTC